TCTGCAAACAAGGTGAAATCCTGCCCTTGCCCTTCTGCTTCAGCCTTCTCAAAATAAAGGCCTTACAGTCCTACCAGTCTCTCCTCCAAAAACAGCTGCTTCATCCCCAGAGTCTCATTAAATCCTCCTTTCCGTACCTGCTCAACTTTGCTGTGTCTTTCATGAGCACTGTGTGCAGGTCTGGTCTCCACATCCCAAAATGTGGGCTCATGCTGGTTTTACACAGCTGAAAAATGATGCTGACTATTATGTTCTCTGACACTTTTCCTTGCGTTTTTTCTTTGGCTGCCACATCATTATGAACTGAAGGTATCCAGTCTTCATTTTAAGACATAAAGAGAATAAAAAATTCCCACTTCCCTTGCTCTGTTTCTCCAGTGACTGACCACCCTCATTGTAAAAAACATGCACAGTTTCACATTTTGTGTTCTATGTTTGACATTCTAACTTTGTTTTTCTACCCACTGCTTGCTCCTGTTGCTGTAAATGTCTGTAAGCATCATGTAACTTTGTGCATAATGTACACAAATCTTCTGAATTTTTCATTTTACCAAAAGAAATAGTAACAAAAAACAAAGTGATCCCAGGCTTAGCTACCAGGATGCAGAGATCCTTCAACACAGCGTGCAAGATGAAACTACTTCTCCTGCCTCTCTTTGGTTTTCTTCCTAGGCAAGTGCTAAACCTCAGAAACCAAACTTTGGTTCTCTAATCAGTCAGTTTGCTTGTGACAGTAAGCAAGATTTAGTACGCATTTTTGTTAGCCTATAGAGTGAATAGCTTGAGTATTGTATATTTCAATAAATCATATAGGACTGTCTATCAATAGTACAAAGACCAGAGGAAAAAAATAAGCTTTTTGAAGAAATACATATAAATACTTACATCAGCTGACTTATGTTACCTTGACACTGCCTTTAGTCCATCAAAAATATTTTGGATAATTCTTGAAAAGATACTTTGCTGCATTTGTTGATAAATCTCAAAGTATTAAGTCGGGAGAAACACCTGTATAAATGTCCACATTTTCATTGGCATAATTTAGTTTATGAACACAGAAAACACTGATTCTGTTGGTAGAAATTACAATTTTTCAGGCAGTAGAAAGCATCAACTTTAAAATGCCAGATTTTGTAAAACATTTGTCCTAGCTGTTACCTAGATGTAAAAAGAAATACCTCTGTCGGGTCATACTTATGACGTAAAATGGCACATGTTTGAATCTGGATAGAAATAGTATCTGTGACATAAGACGTGTGGGATGACCAGGTTGTTTAAAGTACCCTGAGCAAGACTACGTAGCAGATGTAGAGTTTATGGTTCCTACATCAGAGAAGTCCTAAGCAACAGCACTTTGGGGTGTAAACAGGGGATATTCAAATAAGGACTGAGCTAAGCAGTTGGTTCTCTTGCATACAAAGTGGAAGCCGTACCCATTTTGGTTGTACTTTAGTTTCTGCCCCCAGCACTGAAAACATCACATGAAGAACTTCTCCACTGAGGTTGGTATGAATTCTGGGCAGAGGGAGCTGGTGGAAACAGACCTTTGTGCACATCCTGTGGTAGCCAGTCACTCACTGGATAGCCCTGATCCTGCTGGATGGCTCTGTCAGCGCTAGAGTTCATGGACATTGCTACTAAATAAAGGTAAAAGGTTTTTAGATTGTTTTACTTTAAGAGAAGAAAGAAAATTAACCTCCCTGTGAGTTGTTCAAAGACTAATCTAAATCCAAAATATCAATTACTGTCTGTGTTTTCCAGCAGAACCTGTTCAAACACAAGTTTGTTGAAGTTAAGGGGTTTGTCACACCAAGAGCTCTGACATTTATTTCTTCCTTGAGCCTTTCCTCGCAAATCTGGAACTGTCTTTTGCTGTATGTAGATCCTTGTCCCCTCCCCACCTTCTCACATTTCCACCTGACACAGTTCAGGTCATGAGCATTTCTCTACTGGATTCCAACCTGCCACTCCCCAGACACATATTGCTCTGTCGCTGTTGCTACAGCTCCTGTTTTCACATCTTCTGTTGTCACCCTTGTCCGTTGCCTGTTATTAAACATTTCTCACACTTGGCATTTGCCCATTTGTCATACATCTTCACCAGCTGCTTGTCAAATAACTGTTGCCCTTCCCAAAACTTTGCCTCTGAGGTTTTACCCCAAATTCATAACCTATCTCTCACCCCATCTTGCTTAACTCCCCCGGTGGGGCACCTTCAGCCTCCTTCCAGTCTAAGCCTCAGTCTCTCCCTCCTCTTGCAGTGCCTGATCCCTCACTGAAACAAGAGTAACAGTGTCTTTGCTCTTTGGCCCTCTTTTATTGGCACCACAAGAAGCCATTAACACATCTTCCTGTCTGTTCCCAGTGTTTGTGTCCTGCCCTTTAGTGCCCACAGATCCACCCCGTGCACAGAAGTGCTGTACACAAACAAGGGGCAGTACTGCTTTGGATGGTACATGAGGGGCTCATTCTACCAGCTCAGCATGTTGTATTAACTAATTGCAAGTGTTAAAATTGCAGTATTAAATGTAAATTGCAACAGTAATAAATGAGCTTTATCCACCAAATCCCCAAATTTTTATATTTTTCTCTGAAAGCCCTTTTATGAGACCTATTACAGCTGTTAGCACTTGCTTTAATTAAACTCATAACGCAGCATGAAGCTCAGTTAACCAGTTTTTAGTTTTCAGAGGAAGTCAGTAAGAAGTTGGTATTGCATTTTTCTGTCATGCTTCACATCCTGTGCTTTGGGTACATTATAAAAATGTTGACAGAGGATTCTATATCTCAGGGGAGGATAAGGGGGACATGAAACTTCTTACTTCTAGGCTGTTTTTTCCAATTCAGTTTAGATTCTTAAGTTTTATAAAAGTATTTGGTGTTTGACTGCAGCCTGGATGTCTTCATTCAAGGAAATGGGTGGTCTCAGCATCTGAGCCAGAGGATTATAAGGCCACCTCACCATGTTCAGATCCCTCTTCGTCAGTCTCAGCAAAAAACTGATTGGTTTGTAGAGCTGAAAAATGCTTGCTGCCTTCAACTAGGACTTAAATCACATCTGCATCAGACACTGATTGGATGGGTGTTCCGTGTACATGCTGCTCCTGAGGGTTTTTTTTTTGTAATTTTAATTCCCAAAGCTATCAGCCCAGAAGAGTTGCATTAGAAAAAGGAAAAGAAGAATGTGGTTTTAGAGAATGCAACGGCACTGCCTTTTGTTGCAGCTGCTTCGAAGTGTCTCTCCATTGACACCTAGTGTCCGTACGGGAAGATCTTCGTAGCCGTGCTGGCAATATTTATCTCTAAATCTTTAAAGATCTTTTAACTTGTGTAGTTATTAAGAGCTTCTATTGATCAAACCAGGTCAGCCAGTAGGTGAGATTGATGGTGCAAACAGAGCAATCTCCCTGCTCCTGACGGTGATATCAGTGACATCAATGCATGACTATGTTCTGAATGGCTCTAGGAACCCATTCATTGCTTTGCAGTGCAAAAATATTATCCTTTTATAAGGTGTCCTGTGAATACATGTAAAATACCTTCAATCTCTATCTCTTTCCTTTCATTGTGAACTAATGAATATTTAATACTAATTTTAGGAAGTATTGTACTTTGTTGTCAGGCATTATTCTAATTATCTTCAATTAAAGATTGAAGATAATTGATAATTCATTGATAGAAATCTCTTCACTGCACTCCATTTTATCACTAAAAGCTATTTAATAAAGAAGTGTCTTTATTTTTATAGTAAGAGTTATATTCATACTTATTTATTTATACTGTAGAAATCCCAAGTGTTTACAAAAGGATTCGTTGTTCTGCGAATCTTGAACTGTGAGCAATTAATCATGTTGTTACTGTACACTTTGCACCATGAGCAACTCTGCCTTTGCAGTACTTCCTCCTGCTCCTTCAGTCAGCCTGAAGTGCTTATGTTGGGGTGTGCATGCAGGGGCTGTGCCAGAATCACAGCCACACCGTGCCTGGTCCTAGACCGATGTGGAAAAGTCCTTCCCTTCCCTGAAAACTCTCTGTACATTCATACTTTGATCATTTCCATTGTTATCTGTTTACAAAGGAGGTAATTCCAAATAAATTCTGCTATGAAAGCTTAACGAGATACGTTGTCATAACATTTGCATTGCAACTTCAGGAAAAGATGACTGGATCAGGGATGCACAGCAGGCACAGCTTCTGTCCATCACTGATTCTGTGTCATCAAGGGGCTTGTGGACTCCACCATTTCTTGACAGTGTTTTGTGATTCATCCCTTTCCAGCTTTTCCTCAATACCTCATAAGCTCTAGAAGAGCTCTCTCTTGAATTGGTGATATAGGTGGCATAGAAGGGTGTTGTCCTTGCTGGCAGGTGGAAGCTACTAACGTGCAAATAATAGATCTTTGCCTTAGAACAGCAGGAAACCTGCTGAAAAAGAGCTAAAACAGCCTTGAACTTCTTCTGTGAAGGTCAGAGGAGAGTGAATCAATATTTCCCACCATTTCTGGAAAAGGAGCTGTCATCAGTTTCTACGGACAGTCACATATTTTCCCTCTTTCTCCTTTCAGTGTTCTGTTATTTAAAAATACTCAACAGTCAGAGTCTGTGTTGAAAGAACTTGCTGAATCAATACATCCAGAATAGGAGTGACAGCATCACTAAGATGTGTCCTGCTTAGATTATTCATAGTTTAACTATAAAGCAAAACATGTGATAATGAGCAATAAAGGAATGTGACATAAATAATTTCATTCAGAGCAGTGCATTAGTGGGGGCACTGGTAAAGCTGCAGCAGCAGCAACCAGAGCCTTTAATTGCAACTGCTTATAATTAGGGTTACAAATAGGTGTTTGTGTCTGTCTTTGCCATGATCCTTCAGTCACCCCAACTTTTCGTCCTCGGTAGGACCCAGCGCTTCCATCAACCCCAAATTTTCCCTCCATGGCGTCAATGGAAGGAGGCAGCAGCCGAGAGCATCGTGTTGCTATGGCAACACAACCCACTTCCCCCGGGACCGCGTTGCCTCGGCGACATCAGGCGGGCAACGCCGGCGGATTAAATCGACTCAGAGCAGCTGCCCCCTGAAAAACAGGACAGCCCTGGCCTCGGGGAGCATGGGAGCCCAGAGGTTCATCTCACCAGAGCCTGGTGAGTGTAGGACCCTGCACTCACAGCGGGGTCTGGGTCTGGAGAAGGTGACTGGTGTGTGTGGTTTTTTGGAAGTGGTGAGACCAGGCTACAGCCCAAAGGAGCTTCCCATCACCGTTTAGTGTGTTGAAATAAGGTGGCAGGAAAGACAATATCAGTGGGAGGGGATTAGCTGAAGGGAGCAAGTGCTGAGGCCTCCATCCTTGGTTTGTATAATCAGGACCTGCAAACATCCCACAACATCAGAAGTTGTTGCCTCGTGTTACACAGTGCATCTATGAGTGGAGGTAAGCTTGTACATGGATTTTAGGGTAGTCCAGTGCTGCATTACACTGTGTCACATTCAGTACCCAGCATCATGCAGGCAGCAGATTAAAAATCAATTTACATAGGCAAACGCCTGTGTTAATGCTGTGAGCACAGAGCCTCCCACTTGTGTGCCTGCAGGCAGTCCAGCAACCAGCCCCAACCCACAGGAAAGCACTGACACATTCCCAAGAGCCCACAGACCCTCTATCACAATGGTGTTCTTGGATATCTGCACCAAACACCTTCTGGGGACTTCACTGGAGCCATCTGTGTAACTGCCACTGAGGTGAGGGGGTTCAGAGTTTGATGAATGGATATCAGTTATCCACAGCACTTGAAGAGCTATTTGAGAAGCAGGAAGATGGTAAAGGACAGAAGAATTTGCACAAGACAGGTAAATTCCTTGTGATTTGTCTGTTCTTGTATTAAGAAACCTCTTGCCTACTGTAATTAGCCCTTGAATAGACAGCATCTCTGAAACACAAGCCTCTGTGTCCCGATTTCGTGTGTTGGCAGTGCTTTGCTTTTTGTTTAAGACTTACACTAATTCTTGCAGAAGGACAGAGCCTGCTCTAGGGGGTCTGGCATTACTTTTTGCCTCTGAAAATATTACCATCTGCTGCAGTGCTGTGTCTCAATGATGTTAACATACTTGACTTTAAGTAGACATTCCCTGTACTTTCAGCTACAGCCCTGCTCTTGCTCTATCCTTGTATTTCTGACATTGGTCTTACTCTCAGCCGTTCTGTGTGCATTTTCCACACAACATTAGCTGCCCTTCTTCTTACAATTAGAGCTGTGGTTAATTATGTTTACAAAGGATTCCTGAGCTGTGGGAAATGTTTCTCAGAATGTGTGGTTTTGCATCATTTAGCCTTGAAAGGATGCTGCCTCCCCTGACCTCTTGCTGTTTTTCTCTCAATGACTCTGGTAATTGCATCAATAGCCTTGGGAGTCACATTTTCCTTTCACATCTAGGAAAGATCCAACCTTTTCATATCCTTTCCCAGCTGAAACACATATCCGATCTCTCCTGTTTTCTGTGGTTCAACCACATTAGCTCTTTTTCTGCCTTCTGTGCATGCAGTCTTGTTTTATTTTTGTCCGGAATAAACTCTGCTGCTTTTCTGGATCAAAATTTCCACCACTCTACTTTTCTATGATCTTCTCCTCCCTGTATCAAACACATTTCTTATCTTCTCCATCAACATCCTTTACAACCCGTTTTCAGTCGAGTCCATCAGCAGTCATTCTGACAGCAAAGTCCCCAAAATTCTGACAGCATTTTGACACCATATCAAAGAGACATGTCAGTGGTTTTTCCACACCTCCCCATCACAGCTGGGCAAGAAACTCTCCAGAAACATCTGCAAAGGGAGTTTGGAGCACAGAGACCAGCACAATATCACATGCTCCCTCCAGTTGAGGGGATTCATCTACCATGTTTCACCTTATGTTTAAAAGCAAACTGCCTTGAGGAAGACCTTTTTTTGCTTCAGAACACTGAGAAAATGAAAAATGACACCCAGGAATGCATCCCAAACCCACACATTTCAGATTCTGATGTCACCTCATAGCCACTTGGTCCCCACACTGATGCTCCACATTATCTGCACTTGTGTGGGGGGATTCCCTTTCAAACACATCTCAGCGATGTCAGTTCCTTCAGGTTAATGTGCAGTCAGCAAGAAACTGGAAGCAACACCTAAAAAAAAACCTGTTTCCTTTCTCTCTTCACACCTCTTTAAAGAGGAATGGTTTTTCTGAGTCACAGCTAACGCAAACCTGTTGGAAAAGATTCAGCCTAGATTTATACCACGGCTTAGAGGAACATGAAAGACCATTTAGTGTTCAAAGTACTATTTTGAATTATTAATCAAGCCCCCTGTCTGGCTTAGCTCAGTCAGGTCCTTCTTCAGATTTTGTAGAGTTTATTTCTCTTGTCATCCTGAACAATCTTTGACGTGCAGAACACAGGCTTGTTGATGAAACAAGAAGACTGCCAGCAAAGTTTGGCTCTGCCTGTGCCTTTGCAGAGAGATCTCAGTGCAGGGGATATGCAGTGCAGTTGTTCTTTTGTTCATATTTAATCATACGAGAAAGAAGAATGTAATTAAGGCCTGTCTCCCTCAATCTCCTCCTTTCCTCAGAGTATTTCAACTCTCTGAGATAAAGGAAATGTAGCTTTTTCTGGCAGCGAAGTGCATCCCAGAGTGGATCAGGAGTGAATCTGCCCCCATCACTCCAAAACTGGCAGTGTTTTCCTGCCGAGCCATTTCCCATGCAAAGGAACATGGCTATCACAAACAGCATTGCGAGTACCAAAATCAGATCAGAGCTGGAAGCACAGTGTTTGCTGTTGGTTTTCTTTGCATGTTTGACAGCCCAGTCAGACTGTGATTGCTCCACTAACCCCCTCAAAAGCTGGATGATTTCTCTTTATCTGAAAACACCCTTAGGCGGTTACTAGATTCGAGGATGCAACATTAAATGGAGCTTGGCTCAGAAATAGACTTTTTTTCTTCTATTTAGCTATTTTAGCCATTTATTGTCTGTTTAGCTTTGTATCTCAAGTAAACTCACTTCATTTACACTCTAAACCAGGGTTTACTCTAAGCACAGGGTTACGAAAGATTTGCTGCCAAAGAGTCCTGAAATTTGAAAATGTCTCATTGGAAAGGGTGTTTCAGGCTTGCAATTTTGGTTGGCCTTGGGCTGAAATGAAACTGTAACAGCAAAGACAATAAAGGACTGGAAGGGGCAGAGAAAAATGAGTCGACCCACCCGGCCCAGGACGGGAACTGTGTGGGGAGGAGGTTCAGGATACTGACAGTGAGGGATGGTGTTTGACCAGACCAGGGAGAAACATCCTGGGCCTGAACAGTGCCAGAGAGCTGCAGAAAAAACAGTCAATGAGAAGACAGTTGATTGATGAAATTGCCTGAAATGAGGAAGGAGGGAGGAGGCTGTAATGTGTAAACACTTTAATTGCAAAGTTGTTTAATCTGAGCGGTCCTAGGACCTGACAGAATAAGTGTTGTTGCTCCTTCCCAGGCTATGTAACAGGCACAGAGACCGACAGGGAAAGTTTCCACTTAGTGGCAGGGATATTAAATTATAAAAACGATAAAAGTTTATCACAGAAGCAATAAGCTGCTAATTTCTCAAGACCTTGCTGCCAAACTTTAGAAAAAATACTGTGGAAATCAAAGCAGAGCTCAAAAGGAAGAAATCTGCTACAGAAAAAAATGCTGATTTAAATCATCTTTCAATTTGCAAAATTGTTTTTACCTACAGAGAGGCTTTAAACAAGGGGAAAACATATTCCAATTGCTTGGGATCAAAATCCCAAGTCTCACAGACGCACAAAGAATAGTCCAGAGGGAGAGGCCAATAATTAGCTGCTGAAAAAAAAAACGCATGGCAAATGAGGGACTCAATAGGGGTGGAAAGTGAAAAAAGGATGAAAGAATAGAAAATGTTCTTGCAGTAGCAAAAGTGCAGCTAAAATAGAGGATTTGACTATGTGAGGAATAAGCAAAAGGTTATATGGGAGGAGTTCTTGAGAGTTAGCAAGTCTGAAGGTTGCACAGCGACAGTGCTGGTGCTCAGAAGGAAAGTTACAGGAAGGGTAGTTTAACTGGGAAGAGCTATTCCCATGGTGGAAAAATATGGGCATTATGAGTTCAGGAAAGAGGAAGTTAAATAAAATTTAAGGATACAAAAAAATGGAAACAGGGGCCAGCGCTGGGTGCCCACAGGGGGAGTTTGTCCAGCTGCAGCAAGGGCTGGCGAATCCCCCAGGGAAGCAGAGCCAGGAGTTGCCAGGGATGGCAGCCAAGCATGGGCCAAGAGCCTGGCCATGGTCAGGGTCTGGCTGGGGGGCAGTGGGGCCACAGCCTGGCACAGGAGGGATGCAGAGGGAGCTGGTCCAGGCTCTGGTGCTCAGCATCCTGCCAATCCCATGGTCCTCCTTGTCTGCTGTGGACGTCCTTTGCCACCCACCCCAGGGGTGGGGCAGCCCCCTGGCTTACAGGGATTATCTCCATCCCAAGCAGCACATCTGAAGCTTTAAAAAATGCCAAAATAATTATTAGTTGCCTTTAAACTGAGATATTTGACGATCAAAGAAATAAACAATGAAGGCAAAAATGACAAACCTGAAAATCTGTTATCCTAATTCAGGAAAGTATTTGATCAAGTGCCAGATATGAAAGGTCTGCTCCAGTAGCTGTTTTCTGCAGCTCAAGCAGAGGAAAGCCATGCACTCTACCAGTGGCTTTCAGACTGAAGCTGTATATACGAACAAGAAGTGATGGTGTCTCATATTAAAGGACACAGTTGCTTTCTCAGTTATCCCTATCACAGGATTGAGCTTCTGCCCACAGTCAAAAGCAAATAGTTTAAAATACACTTTGAAATAGGCCGGTGTGCTGGGAAAGATCACATTTTTGCTGGAATTTTGAGCGGTACATATTTTTACAGGAAAAGATCCAATAAAGAAGGTAAAGTAGAGGAGGCAGCAAGCACTCACTGTATCAGCAATCCAGGCTCCCAGACTGCTGAGACAAACAGCCCTCAGGGAAATGAGATTATACTTTACCTCTGACATATATAGAATAACAGATTTCTCATTCATCTCTAGATTCATATTGAAACTGATTAGGCAAGAGCTACTGGAACAGGAGGAAAATCATGACCAAACCTTAGAAGCAGTATTTGTTAGCCTGATGAAGTCTCAGGGAACACTCTTTTGGAAATGAATACTCCAGTCACCAGTAGGAGTTAAGAGACATTGAGGTTGACTCTTCCATGCTTCCAGTAAATGGAAACCTATTTATTTATGAAAATAAGTTGCTTTTAAACATTATTTAGGACAAAGAAGGTGCTAGAAAAGAGTCACCAAGAATAAGTAAAACATTAAATAGTGAATGAATTCTTAAGATCAGATTTTTTTTTAAAGCATATTTAAAATTAATTTAAGCTTAGTTTCATGGCATATGACAGGAAAATCTGATATCTTATGAAAATGAAAATCAAGTGGTAAAGATCATTATTTTTAATATACGAGAATTCAGGAGCACCAGTGTTTTCAGTAAGGTAGTTACATATTGTAACAAAATGTGTACTAGTGCTGTTTACTTACTTGAAAAAGCTTTTATACTTGAGATACTTTGAAGTAAACAAAAAAGACATAACAATTTGTCAACTGTTACATTAATTAATTATATAAAGAATAAAAAAAAAGAAATCCCAGAGAAAAATAAGAAAAAGTCAAATGTAGAACCTTATGAGAGCACAAGTATTTAAAATTTTGAGAGGTACTTGGGTTGGCATCCTGTGTGCAACAAGCTTACATGTGAAAATTAGTCTTTTTTCCCCAAAATATGTCACTCCCTTGTTCCCTTGTAGCCCTTCATGGTGTCTTAGAAAGTGCCATGTTCTGCCTGAGCTGGATGTTGCCCTTGAATCCTAAGGGGGTCACATCTCTGCCCCCATGAGCTGTAACCTATGACCTGGGTTTAAACACATTGAGCCCCAGCTGGTTGTGAAGAGCCAGGACAGGTGTCAGGTCACTCCCATGGAGAAAGGACCTTCAGCCACATCACCAGGAGAGGTTTCTGTTATTTGACACAGAAAAGGCTGAGAAGGGCTGGGGCAGATCTTTTGGACAGAGTCCCCTCCATGGAACCTTCATCCTCTAAATGATGCAGGCAAAGCTCAGGCAAAGCTGCCCTGGGGCGTTGGGTCACTGAGTGACGACACACTGGCCAGATGTTCCACGGATCTAAAAGTTTATGTATCTCAGAGTTATTTTTCATGTCCCATTGGAAGCCTCCATGTACTTAAGGAAGTTGGATTTCCCATTTTCATCACCAGGTCACCCAGGTGAGTTTGGCAATGCATTCACATTCCTGAACACAGACATCCCAGGAAACCAGTGACTTCGGAAAGATCATCCCCTTCCATGTTGTAATTGTAGCAAATTTCAGAAGTTACACACAGTTGCCAAAGATCTTGCTTCAGGAAATACTGGTGGGCAAACATTTAACAGATTTCAAGGTTCCTGGCAATCTTGTTTCAGGGAATGCAGAACAGCCATGTGACTAATGAGATTAGCAGCTCTGTTAGCAAGAAAAACTAGACACGAAAATCAAGATGAGCATCTTCCATGGACACCTCACTTCAAGATCTTACCATTATTCCAAGCAAATCTTTAGCCGGTAAGCTGAAGTGTGAATAAAAGGGACACAAACAAGAAGACAACCTAAATGCAGTAGGCTGGGCACTGTCACTTTTGTCATCACTACCAACAGAGTCAGGATGGAGAAAGGGCCGTGTGGTCTTTTGTTCAGCAAAACAGTGCTTGTTTATCGATGGTGTAAATGTTGCTAGGCTACGTGGATTAAATTAAAAACCTTTCCTTTCCCATTGTGTACACCACCTTCAGAAAAGAATGCTCTGTGAATATAGTAAAAGTTGGAGTTTTTTCCCAGATCATTCAAATTCAATTATAGAAGGACCTGTAGAAGACAGATTATCAGCCAGCTACTCAATAAAGAGACTTTTAAGCATATTTTTGTAATCAATACCCATTTTATTAAGCAGCAGTGCCAGTACCCAGAGGAAAGTAATAAAGAATAAAATAGAAAATATCAATATGGCTGATAGAAACTATTATATTTTCATTTTAAAATGTATGTAGAATTGGAAAAAGGTACAAAACAAGGGGAAAGGAGGATCGTGGCTTTGTACAAGGAGAGATTAAACAAGACATCAGCTTGGAAAAGGACCCAGTGGAGAAGGGCCCAGAAAGCTACAAATTATTTCAGGAAAGTTGAAGTGGAACAATTTTATGTTATTTCTCGCAAGACAAGATTTAAGAGACACCAGTGAAACCATCATTCAGCCAATCTGAAACAAAGCAGTGCATAATTAAACAGTGCCACTCACTGCCAGCAGATACTGTAGAGGCCAAACACAGGAAGGTGTCTGGAAGGTGATTGTGTTGAAACCAAGCCTAGAGCTCAGGGTGTGGATACAGCCTCCAGCCTAGTAAATCCCAGTGTGTGGGTGTGGATGATAGAGCTGGTGGTGGTACCCTGGGGAGGTAAACCTGGGTGCTTTGTGCCCCCTGTTCTCCTCTCTGGGGGCAGAGATTTGGGCTGAGAGACCCTTGGTCTGAGGCTCAATGGCCATTCCTAGAGACACAGCCTGCTTTTATCTTTTCCAGAGAGAGTAACCTTAGCTGTAATAAATTCTAGTTGCTGAGGGAGTGGTGCAGAGGAGCCATGCTTCACAATCCAGTTCCCTTTGGATATTTCCCTGCAGACCTTCTCCACCTGCCCCTGTACCCAGAATGGGAGCGTGGGATGAAGCAAGGGGAGAGGTCAGCACAGACCTTTGGGAAGGGAAGGGCTGGTCTCCCAAACCAGCAGGCAGCTCTGGCATCTCTGAATGTGCTCACACTGGTGAGCAGGACAGCTGCCCGCTGTGTTTTGTGGTCATTAATGAGAGAAATGCCAGGAACAGTCTGTGCTTTTAGGGAAAATGATGTGTAGGTGCCTCATCCCGTGAGCTGGACCCATGGGGAAGAAAATGGGGAAAACCCCAACAATTTATCGTAAGAGAACTCATTAACATCACAAGAAATTGCTCATCTCGGAAGAGACAGACATTTCACACATGTCACTCTGCCTCATCCGTGATCCCCTGGCAGACACAGATCCACCCCAGCCCAGGGGAAACTGAACTTTACAGTCCCGATGGAGCTTTTCCTGCATGGAGGTGGAGGAGGGGTGTATGTGGATCTGGGAAAGCCCAGCTTCCTCCACCTGGAGACAACGGGGCTGTGGGGAAGGACAGAGATCGGGAAGGAACCCAGGGCTCTCTGCCCACACACATTCCCCATCCCAGCAGTGGCAGATGCCGGCCCATTTGCCGGGGTGCTGGCAGAGCAGGAGACCCTGCTCCGGCCTCCTGGCCACTGCAGCATCAGGCTCCTTTCCAGGAGCAGCTCTGCTGCAGGAGCCAGTGTTCACCCACACTGCAGAAGCTGGCCGTGCCTTGCAGCTGAGCACGCCTGCTCCGGTGGGAAATGGGTGGTCGGGCTGGGAGAACAGAGAGTTCCCTCCACCGAGTGATCTCCTGCCATCGACTGCCAGATCCTGAACTTTGGCTCCGGCCAGGAGGCAGTAAACGAAGCAAATAATTGCCTGGCAGTGAGTGATAGGGAGTCAAGGGTGAGCGGATAGGGAGGGGCGGGGGATGAGCGAGAGGATTATGTTTCAGAGGGAAGTATTTTTTTAGGATTTGTCTATGCAGGCAGTCAGGAGCTTTCCTTAATCACATGGACTTAGCCCCAGGAGGAGGAGGACTCGCTGTAATTTTACACCTTTTCAGCATTTCAGCTGGTTCTGCTGAAATCTGCATAGGGATTAAAGATGCGAAGGGACAGAGAATTGGTTTCCTTGCCTTTCCTCTGCCGGGACAAACATTCAAGGCTAAATCACAATTTAGAATTTTTTGATGGCATGAGTGGTGAGAGGAAGGAGCCAGCAGCTGACAGTAATAAATAACTATTAGGAAACAGTATTAGGAAATAGTACCAAGGAGAAATACTGCTGCAGGGATATGCTTTCAGCTTTGGGAAATCCATACCCAGGCAGCTCAACATTTACTTAGGTATCCAGAGCTTGTGTGCAACTTCTCTCAGACCAGAGCAGCAGCAGCACTGGGGGAGAAACCCAAGCTCAGGTCCCCAGTGAAGAAGGGAAGTCAGCTCATTGCAGGGATAAACATTTCAGGCTTCCACTCTCAGTGCCAAGAGTTAGCAACAGTGTCGTGTCCTTCCGCAAATCAACACTCAAACTGTCACCTGCAAAGGGAAGTGAAGTTTATATATGGCCTATTACTGTAACTTTGATACTGATCTTTATGGCCAGGCTTCTAGTATGTCTAGGGAGAACCTGTGCATCATAAACTGCTTAAACTGAACTATCTGAGCTTAAACTGAACTGTCTGAGCTTCAACTAAAGGGTCTGAATTCAGAGAAAGATGTTAGGAAAAATCCTGTCCCATGTCCACTTAACGTTTACATTTTTACCAGGTTTGAGAAATATTTGAAGAACTATTCTAACAGACTGAGGTAATGGAAAAAGTCCTCAGTTTTATACACAAATCTCCCTAAATTAGAAACAGTTTTCCATTTCAAGCACCCCACATCAGGCAGCCCATTCCTCCCCTTCACTGGGCAGCTTCCTCAGGGCAGGGTCTGCTGGGCAAAAAGACAAAGTGTGGTGTAAAATGGGGTCAGACAGAGCCACGCCCGGGGCCACAGAGCCCTCAACGTTGTGAATGAGCACAGCCACCCATGATCTGAGTACCCAAAAGGCATCCTGGAGAGCAGAGAAGAGGCAAGAATCCCAGCAATCCCTACACCCGCCCTCCTGGGAAGCCCCCGGCTGCAAGGCAGGCGTCTCCCTGTCATCCTCTGGGTCAGGAGGAAAAGTCCCCAGGACACAGCTGTCAGGGCAGCAGGATCTATTTTCAATCAGGACAGTTGGGCAGTGCTGTCGAAGCCCTTCGGTGCTGAGCACACCCGATGACACCAGCACAGTGCCACAGCGTATGTGGCTCTGAGCCACTGACTCAGCAGGCATTTAAGTCCATGACCTGTACAAGCCAGCAGTGTGGTCACACGTTGTGGTTGGAAGCAGGATGTCACGAGGAACATGGGCCATGAACATGCCCTTGTGGCAAAGAAGGCCACCAGCCTGCTGGGCTGCTTTAGGAAGAGCATTGCCAGCAGGCCAGGGAGACAGTCCTTCCCTGCACTCACCGCTGGTGAGGGCACACCTGGAGTGCTGAGTCCAGTTCTGGGCTCCTGGCCTCCCCAGTACATGAGAGGCATACTGGAGCAGCCCAGTGAACCACCACAGAGATGATGAAGGGACTGGAACATTTGCAATAGGAGGAGACCAAGGGAGATGGAATTGTTCAGCCTGGAGGAGGCTCCATGAGGATCTTACCAATGTGTGTAGATACCTGATGAGAGAGAGTTTAGGACACAGAGGCCAGACTCTTCTCAGCGGGATCCAGTGATGCTGAAATACATGAAATTCCACTTAGACATAAGAGAGAACTGATTTTCTGTGAAGGTGATTGCACACCAGAGCAGATTGCCCCAAGAGGCTGAGGAGTTTCTGTCCTTGGAGTATTGAAAACCCAGCTGGACACAGTCCTGGACAACCTGCTCTAGTGGGCCCTGCTTTGAGCAGGAGGGCTGGACTGGACCATGTCCAGAGATGCCTTCCAGCTTCAATTTCTCTGTCATCCTGTGAACTGTACAGTGGTGAAAGCCACTTTGCTCAGGCTATGCACAAAGCTGATCTCTCACCTGCACGAACAGGCTATTGACGTAGGAATCTTCTTGCCTAAGAGGCAGCAGATAGCAGGAACATTGTAAAATGGAAAACTGAACCACATGCCAATTGGGCACTTGCAAAGCTATAAGTGGTGCTGTGTCCTAGTGTACATTATTATTGGGAAGGTACAGGACCAAGCACGTCCTCCTCTGTGCAGACCCCACAGAATTAGTCAGGGCTTGCTCATCATTTCGTAAGAAGAACACCAGCCAAACTGTCAAAGATCAGATTGGAGGTCTGTCTATTCCTCTACCCTACAGTGTCCAGCAGCAGATGCTTACAGAAAGAACACAAGAAATAAAACACTCTTTATGCCTTCCATAGCACACTCTACCAGCTCCCATCAGACAGCAATTCAGGGACGGACATCTTGTGCCAAGGCTTTGCAGCCCCATCAGTTTTCAGTCATTCTTAAACTGTTCTTCCATAATTTTTTTTGCATTCAGTTGCAACGACCTATATAGCTTAATTATACACAAGACATAAAATGTACTTTTATTTTAAATATTGCTTGATATCCTCACTGGACAGACTGTATGTCTGTTTAAAATACAGACATGTCTTGTCCTGTGAGAAATATGAGTAAATGCACCCTCTTCACATTACTCACCATTTGTAAGATATACTTTGCAATGTCCTTTCCAAACTGGAGAGTCTGTACTGTGTGTGCCTCCCACAGGCAGCTGCCTTTAATTAGCCAAATGTGATCAAGACTGACTTGCCAGGGGTACTCCAAGGACCTTTCTGTCACTATAGCAATGCTGAGTGTGCACAAAAGCCACTTGCACACAATGGGCAGAGAAATGCAAGCACAGAAGATTTACCTATCATTAATTACTTCTGGAATACTTCCAGGCACCTTGAATCACCACTGAAAAAATCACTTGCATCAAAACAGAATGGGACAGGGAGATGTACAGCACAAAAGTATTGTGGAACTCTACACTGATTTTGATATCGCAAAACCAGATGCTACAAGCACAAGCAGCATAAAGGCAAATATCATTGGTATCCTTTGCTGGTACTTAGTGTACCAGCTCTTACTGTGTGCCCCTAAACTGCAAATAGACTGCCTGAATTCCCACAACAATCTGGAAAATTAGAAAATAACATTTGAATGCAAATCTGGGCTTCTGAAAGCAAAAGAGTCCTCAGGGTACAGGAAACTCTCTTTTTCTGAGGATGCACACAGAAATGACAGGGGCAAAGAAATGGCAAATTTTGTATGGCAGAATCTTTAAAGACATGAGCAGATCTTTAAACATTTCCAGAGTGTCTTGGCTTCAGTTTTTGAACAAGCAAGCAAATATGTCTGATGAGCCTTTACAAATCTCTTCTTCTCCTGCTACAGCTGATGGAAAGCAGCCCCTCATTCATCCCTGATTGTCTCCTGCCATATTTTACTTAGCTAAAAGCACCAAATGAAATCAAGCATGTTAAACAACAGAATGTTATCATGCAAAACACAAAGCTCTGCAAAAACCTTGGAGTGGGGAAGAGTATAATTAGGATAAGTCAAATTGGGAAAAGGAACAGAAATACTTAAAAAAATAAATATTTAAAAGGATAGTTTGGAAGAAGGAAGAGAGTTTATAGTTACTAGTAACAACTGAAGTATTAGAGAGTGTGGGGAATATTTCAGTCTTCCAGAACAAATACTCCTTAAGGCCATGACCAGCGAGGCTCAGCTGGTGACAGCAGAGCCAATGTAAGTGCTGGGCACCAAGCAAGAGGCAGCAGCTGAATCCGGGGCATTACTAGTCCCTGATTTGGTCTTCAAGAATTATGTTTTTCATGGTCTGCAGCACTCCAGACTGATAGGACTGACATGGGAGGGAGCACTAACCACAGTGCACAGCTCATCACCAGCCTTCCTCAGCAGGACAGATGGGGAGGAGAGGCTCCTGCCTTCCAACTACCTGTCTGTCATGAAAGAGATGTGAAACTTTTGCAGCCCAACTTGGAAAGCTGCAAGTGGCTCAAGTGACCCAGTGGCCTGCCAGCAGCAACTGCTGGGCTGGCTTCCTAACCTCTGACCTTGCCTTTGGACCTTCTGGACTGTCCATCGCCCTGGCAGCCCCGACAGCCACCTGCTGGGCACCTGCCTCAGGAACCAGCTTAGAGCAGCATTTACAACCGGGATTCTGCTTCAGCTCTTCCCAGCTCCCAGGGAGGTTAGGAGCTCAGCAGGATGTCTTTGACAGGGCAGCTGGAATGGGCAGCTTTAAGCATCAGTGTCTGGAATTGCAAGAAAGAAGAGGCACATCTGTCCTCCCAAGAGGTGTCAGTATTTCTGAAACATGTAAGTAAAATAGAAGGAAAAAAATCCAGCTTTATAACATCTCTTAAAGCTGAAAGTTGCTTCTAGGTATCACAGTCCCAGCATCAGTAAGGGGCCAAAGCAGCCCCCAGAGCAGTACAGGGTAGTGTTTGATGGTGAGGCAGCACAGAGCCACTAAAGCAGACCTGATCTGCTTGAAACTAGCTTGGATTTAGTTTCAGTAAACCCAAAACTGTGATTAAAACCATTTAAGAGGTTCATGCCCTTTAATCACCACTTCTCCAAACCAGTATTAGCTCAGTGTTCACGCTTTAAGTATTTCATTCATCCATAGCTGCAATGACTCTGAGGAGGAGCAGCAGCCACTCCTGAACTCCTGAGCAGTGAGGAATGGGGAAGGGCCATGGTAGGTATGGCAGCAGCAAGAATGTGGAGACAATTCCAAGTGGCTGAGATTTTGCCACACCAGGGGTCATCCCATTGATTTCACATCCCCCACCCACCCTGTAAAACATAAGATATGGACTCTGGGGGAGGTAGGTTCCCTTTGGTCCTTCCAAAGAATTGGGAAGGAAAGCAGCATTCAAGGTTTCTCAGCAGAACTGGGTGGGAAGTTTTCAGGGCTGACCTTGCCTGTGGAAAGCCAAGGTGAAAACTCTGTCCTCGTGGTACAGGCCAACAGATAACGCCAAGTACTTTCCACAAAGTATGTGTTATTTGCTCCAAGCTGTGTTATGTAGTGTGTTGCTTCATAGTTAAAAACTTGCATCCCCGACACAGAACCTACCGGGACTCGTATGACAAACATACCAAGTGCAGAACATTTCTTTCTAGGGCTCATGTCAGAAATCCAAAAGCTAAAAGGCAAGGGGTTAACAATCAAAGTCAGCACAACACAGCTTATTTCCCAACTACATCTGAGAATTAAGAATTGGAAAACTTTTGCAAAACTAAGCATGTATGACCATGCAAAAAGTAAATGAACCTGAGCACACATTCTAGCCAAGCAGCAGTTAGCTTTATTGAGTTCCAATAACACTGCATCACAAACAAAAGAAATTAAAAGTTGTTTTTTGCTTCTCAGTATTAGTCATTTCTCAAATGAAAATGGGATTATGTTTAATAATATTAAGAGAAAAACAAGGAACAGGAGAAAGAATAAAGTTAGACAAGACTGCAGAACCAGCAACCCCTTCATGTGTCCCCCTCGTGTCAGAGATATTCAGCTCTTGGAATGCTGTTAAATTTTCTCAGATCAATGTAAAGAATTGAATCCTAGGATACAGTATTTGATTAATCAAATATATCATGGGTCACTATGAACCGTGCTGTACTTTTGAAATCACATTTGGGCTATCTTCAGTGGGACAGAGAGGGATTTCAGAGAAAAGTTCAGGTTAATCAGACACATTTCCCCACTGGCTGCCTCAGTAAAGCTTAGTACAAATGTTAAGCATGATGCATTTCCTGTCCTAGTTCCATAGAAAAGATCAGTGTGCAAGACCTGATATGGTACCTGTGACACCCCCTAACCCACTGAAACGCAGCTCTGGCCTCCCCTGCTGAGTTCTGTGTTTGCTGCTGGACATGCACAGAAGATTAAAACCACTGTCAACAGAGAAACAGCCACAACTGAAAAACTACAGGAGATGAGAACACTGGCTGACGTTGCTTGCAGACACCGGTATGTACAGCTGCTGACATATGCCCTGAGAGTTAAGTACCTGCTGCCAAACAATTATTTTAAGGAAGTTTTTCAGTGTTAATAGCTACATTTTTCTTCAGTAAATAAAGAATTACATTTTAAGATGTGTCCCCTTCTTCCATGAGGAAGTACTTAAGGTAGCGTGTGTGACAGTGACAGCTGCCTGTTGTCAGTGTTACTGCCGTGGCACATTGGCTCAGAAGATGGTCTATCACCTCTAACTCCTCACCAACTCTGTTTCAGAGCTACAGCTTGCATTTCTGAATGGCACATAGCACCACCTAAAGAATGTGAGGAAGGCAAAAAGGTATTAGGCAAACAATCATTCCTGAAATGTTAAGTGATCATTCATTTATTCCTTTGAGGCAGATTTGTACTCTCTTTCTTCTCCTCTCTCATTTCCAGACTTTCTAGTCTTCATAGATTGGGTGCAATCCAGTTAAGAAACTTCATAGCGACTTCAAAACCAAGGAAACATGCCTGGAAAAGAGAACAGAACAAATAAGGATTCTAAAAATCTATTCCAAACAAGGTTTTTGAAATGCAGCACTATGAACACCTGATGTGGCTGATACAGAAGGAGGAAGAGTACAAAAAAAATCTTGGACCAGAGGCAAGAATCCTACTATATCCCTCTACACAAAGGCAGAATTTTGACTCCAGTAGGCTCGTTATTTACTGAAGGGGAAGCCAGTCCAAACTTACTGCATTTTCTACAGATGGATGTAAAATCAGTAGAGAAAAACTGTCAGAGAAAGTCAACAAAGGGTTTCATGTAAAGCTTTAGAGAAAGGTTTACTTGTTTTTCCTCCTAGACTAAAGTATATTTTTAGAACCTGGACACCAACAGCCAAAAGTACCTGCAGTGACAAGAACCTCACTGAAATGATACAAGAGTAAACAGCCAGTCATGTCCTTTACAGGAGGCAAACATTCACTGTGAGTGGCTGAGTCCCCCAAACCCCCCCAGAATGACAATGTACTCACCGCGTTAGCGGGAAATGCCCTGATCATCACAGCTGTGAAGCCCTTATACAGAGATGCAACTCCTTCCTCTTTGATAAGCTCCCTCAGTACATCTCTAAAGCCATTTGGGTATTTTCCTGCAGGAGCTGAAAGGGATACACAACACATTAGCCAAGACGTGTGGCAGTCACAAGGGCTGAAGGATGTGCCCTATGTAACAGCCCAGGATTTTCAACAGGTTCATACTGTTCATACTGTTCCAGCAAACAAACAAACAAGACAGCTCAGTAAAGGCTCAGTAAACAGGAGATAGGTGCTTACCATCACCAAAGAATTTACATCATCAAGTCATTGGGGGAGGAAAGAAAGGAGAATAACTTTTCTCAGGGTTGGAAGTCTGAGCTGTTACTTGCACTGCTGATCACAGCTCTTCCAAGAGCTGCAGTTAGGTGATAGGAATGTCAGATATAAAAACTGATGAAGCTGGTTGATAAGAAACAGAAAATTATCCTATTACATGCCCCAGCTAAGGACAGCAACAGACTTCAAGTGAAAAGTACAGGCTGTTTTAATGTTGATATTACACAGATTTGCTGAGGTGTTTTTAAAAAATTACTCTGCTCAAAGAACAATTTCTTCCTTCTGACACTGCTCAGGGAAGTACTGCCTCTGCCAGCCCTCTGGACAGGTACTCCACAAACCAACCCAGTTAAACAGAATCACCATGAACCCACATCATCCACACAGCAGCACTGGGGACTGGCTCAGTGGAACAAGGATCAGCACTGGGATGTGTTTCACTCTCAGCTCTTGGCGCAGTACCAGATCAGCACAGCAGCCATTGCTCAGAGAAGAAGTAGTTAAGTTTCCTGCACTAGATTATCATGATTTGTGACTCAGTAGAAATGGTCACTGTCCAGGGGAGAGCTGAGCCCACAGAGACTATGAGGAGCCTTAACAAAACTATTCATTGAGAGGACTCCCAGAGAAACCAACGAGAATCTGTCAAACTTTGCTGAAGTGCAAGGCCTGGGGCCGGCCTCACTATAATTAGTACACAGACATTAAAGAGCAGAGCTGCCAGTCGAAAAACAATGTTCCCAACAAGCCACACCCTGTTACTACAAGCTGCAGATAGCACAGGCTACAATTTATACAACTATATCTGAAGCGAAATAACAAAACCTCCCAGAGAATTATATTTGTAACAAAACTGCCGTTCTGTTACTATGAGTTCTATGCTTAGGTTTCAAATCAGGTACCTCAAACCAGGATCATCAGATATCAGGGAGGCAGAAACAGAGAAGTGCAACCTGATTCGCCAAAAATTTGTGAGGAAACCAAGTAAAAAGCTGGAAACACACTTGGGTTTTTCATGAACTTGTCTCAAGCAGTGCTTGAGACATGCTTCTTCCTAGACAGAATTTTCCATCACTGCCCTCCATTCCCTGGAGCACCACACTGAGTGTGGCTATGACATGCTGACATGGAACTTACCAGTCTGGAAACGGGATTTCAGCACGTCTGGTGGAATGGCAACTGCCCAGTTGAAGATGCCAGCCAGGCCCCCAGCAAAGAGGATCCTCGGCACACTGAGGTCACTCACACTGTGGCAGGATCGGGGTGGGGTGAGAGGGAAAAGTGAAAAAGAAATTAAAAAATAGTGAAGGGAAAAAAGTCAAACTCATGTGTTTTGACTAAGGTGACAACCAAAAAGGCAGCCTGGCTGACAGCCAGAAGGCAGTACAATGCTGCAGACAGAGTGCAGTATCTGAGCAACATTTCTAACAATTAGAGCCCCGTGGGCAAAATGGACCAACTCCACCCTAAAGGTTCAAATCTTTTCATTCAGCACACACACAGATGCTCTGGGGAAAAAATCCCCAAAACCAACCAACCAACCAACCAAAAAAAACCCCAAAATCCAAGAAAGTCCCCCAGCATTTTGTGCATATACAGGGTTGAAAGTAAGAAGACATACTTTAAGTATTCCTTACTTGGCCAATAAGATCCAAACTAGAACCTGAGAGAACTCAGAATACTATTTTAATTGTCAGTTAACCCCAGACCAAAGCAGCTCCACTCAGAAGGCAAGCAACTTTTTTTTTTTTTTTTAAATTTGTTTTGATGATACTCCTCTAAGTCTCTTCATAACTGGGGAGATTAATCAGCAGAGTCTGGGAAGTCCAGAAAGTGATGACTGTGAGATTTCACTGACCTCTTTCCCTCAGGGGTCAGAATGTTCTTCAGCCACTCGTACGTCATGAAGTACATTCCACTGGCCGGGACGTCTGGTGGGTAAACAACAAAGGCTGTGAGGAGTGGGAAACCAAACGAAGCCCAGAGGCACAGCAGCCCCATGCCAGCCCAGCAACACCACTAAGTACATCCAGATTCCTTTTCTGAACCTCTTCTACAAACAAAATAAAATCTTCTGCTGCCCTAGAGAGAAGAGTCTGAACTTTCCCAGGGAGAGCAGGTGCTCAAGGCAAGAACTGGGAAAACATCTTTTATGTCAGCAGCCTTTCAAGCCAGGCTGTAACCTGTCTGCTGGTCATTAGACTAATGATGAAACAGCTCTAAACTGTCCTAATTACTGCACAGTATATCAGAGTTTTCAAGAGTTTTGCACACTATTAGTTCTAATGGTTCTATTTTAGGATTGGTTTTTTGCAGTTGATGGGTCTTGTTTGGGGTTTTTTAAAGTTACTCCCACAGCCCATTCTTAGCTCATACCTAAACTGGAGAACCAGCCTTTGGCTAGGGACACTGCCAGAGTTACACTGCAGGCTGCTACACTTCTGTGAGAAGCAGAGGATAGAACAAATTCCTAAACTAAGATAACAAAATACAGAAATTTCAGCTTTTCAATGGAGGAATTACTGAAATGCATAAAGGATTCAGGGTCTGGCATAATTACTTTGTTGTTGTTGTATTTGAGAGAGGGGTCATGACATCCTAGTCCAAAATAACCCAGACTTAAGTGGGCAGAAAGCATAACTGCTGCCATCACATCTTTTAAAGCAGCCAGCATTACATAGCAACAGTCACAGACAGGCACAATCCTTCTCTCAAGGAGAAACAAAAAAAAAAGAAGAAAATTAAAAAAAAAGCCCACTTCTGTGTTTTTCTCTTCTCTTTGTTCTCTCTGCTCCTCTCCTGAAGTCTCTCATTCCTCTTGCCTTCTCAGATCTTAATTACTTCCTATATCCCTCTGATCCTTGTCATCTAATCTCTTCCTCACTTACTGAGAATCTCATGTTTATTTCTCAGGCCCTTTGAGGCATTGGAGTAGCTCTGCAGACTGAAAAAAAAAAAAACAAAACAGAAAAAAGGGGTGACATAGCCCCTCCAGCTGGCTAAAGGGATGGTGAGATCTATCATACTGTGTCAGACTTCTTATCCTACAGTCCCCCCCAGAAGGGATATGAACAGCTCTGTCTGTTACCTCTCATGAGGGTGAGCACCGTCCCCTTGTACACCCCACGAATCCCGGCCTCGCGGTACAGCTGCTTGGCACAGTCCAGAGAGCCACTGTATTTAGTTTCACCTGTAGCTGCCTGGATCTGAAGGATTAAAGTGACAGTTTCTGACTAGTGAAGGTTTCTGGCTGATGCACAATCATCCACCTAGAGTTAGAAAGCCATATGCATGTTTCCAGCAAGGAAGGAGCACATACTCGTCCCACAGGCACTCCTGCCTATGAAACCTCTGCCTCACTTCCTCAAGCAGCTCTCTCACATTCAAGCTGAGGATATGTTTACTGTTTCATGCAGAGAATAGATTCTCCCTTATTTTTCTGCAATGCAAACTTGAAACAGTTAGGTAATTCTACGCTGACAAAAAGTACTCTTCAAATAGTTCAGGGAAATTCAAACAATTTGTATGTGTGTAAAAGCTTCCATGATAATATCCTGTCTGTCAGAACTAACATGTGACCACTCATCACCATATTAACAGAGTTCAGCATATTTTGAAATAAGCAAAGCTTCCCACATCTGCTAAAGATGGCATTTCATTTGTTCAGGTTTACATTTTCCAACAATACTTTAAAAACCCTGGAGGAGGTGCGGAGCTAACAGCCACCCAAATGTCAGAACACTGTCTTGAAATGCATTCCTTAGCTATGTATTGGGAATCATCAAAGTAACAGAAAATCTTTCCACCAGAAAGAGTCTTATGATCTAGAAGGTTCACACTTTTTTTAGAGAAAGTTTCATTCAGAAAAACTCGACTTTTCCATACTTTGCAGTGGACTGAGGCATCCACTGATGTCTCATAAAATGCCCCATAGCATAAGGCCTGTGCTCTGTAAAATGAATAGAGCAATGAATGTGTACTTAAACTGTCACAGTGAGTTTGTTTAATGCTTCTTCATGACACAGATGCATTAAATGACAGTTGTCTCAGTCCTGCCAAAAAACAGAACAGAGTAAATGCACTAACCAAAGAAATTCCTTGTATGGAAAGACAAGACCCCTAAAATTAAATTACCACCACCACCATCCAATGCCTTACCTGTAAAAGGCACTTGATTCTCTCTCCTGGAGCCATGATTACTGTCGTGAACACTCCTGACAACATGCCAGCAGCAAACAGCTGAGGATATCTGCCTCGAGGAAACAGAAAAGACCCTCACACAACACAGTACACAGGAAACGAAGGGCAGAAAAAGCCCTGCATCATCAGATTATGCTATTCCACATGAACTTGGCAGTGGAACTTGAAACACATCCTCTGCTTTTGATCAGTGCAGAAGTGCCTCATCAATGCATAATTAGAGCTAAACATTTAAGATCTCTAGGATTCAAAGCTCTGGTTCCCACAGCAACCACAAGTCAGCTCTTCCACTGTATGTGCTAATATTCCTTCTACCTGCATTTTTTGCTACAGCATTCCCCATTCATTTTTATTCCCAACAGTCTCTTCCTCCTCCAGTCTCCTATACTCTTCTCAGAGACCCCAGATTCCACACATATTCCTGCTTGTGCAGCCAGGAGCCTCCTTTCTGTAAGCTCTCATTCTCTCACTGCCTCACTCCTTCAACCTCTGCCATCGTCGAGTCTGTCCTACCAACCTGCCATTATCCCACACATTCTGCACCTGCTTTCATGTGGCAAAGTATCCATGCTAGAAATCCCTTAAACAGGCTGAGTTTCTCCATCACAAAATTATTTTTACATCCAACCTCCTACTACCTCCCCTCATAAGATGACCTAACATCTCATTGCAACTGAATTCCACACCTCTCGCTTCTCTCCACTTGCCCAAGAGATGGCATTCTATTCCAATTCTTAGTCGTTTAAGAGTAAAGACTCTTAAATTCTCATTAGATCTTCCAGACCATTCAGACCTCCCTCACCACTCCATGTGCACCTCCCGCTACAAATGAGCTGTGAGTTTTCTATCTCACCTTGGGACTATTCAGCCCCTGAAAAGATGGGAACCTGATGAGCCTGTCCTCTCCTTCTTCCTTCCACAACTTCCTTTTAAAATCAGCATGGGTGAACGATGACCACCTTGCCTGCCTCTAGACCCAGAACCACAGTACTAAGGGTCTGCACCCACAGTGCAGCACAGTTGGGCACAGTGACAGTTCCACCCTCTATTTACTTGTTCTCTCCCACTGCTCTACTTCAGAGGAATTCTACATAAGGACTCAAAAAACTATGCTGCACTTCCCCAGCTTGCTCCTTAAAACTTCCCTTTGGTATCATGTGTATAAAACATAAGGCACTGAGGTGATCAGGCTGCTGGAAATCAGCCCACGGCCCATTTGTTTCCTTGTATTGTCCACTCCTGACTATTTCCCTGGCCTTACCCTTCAGCCTTTCCTGCACGAGGACACCACTGTGGTAAAACAGAGGGTAAGTGAGCAGTGCCCCAGCACCTCAGCACTGCTTCCCTCCAGCTATCCAGAGCAGACGGAGCTTGCTCTGTGTTGGCTTGAGCTGGGTGTGTTCACACCCCCTGGGCAGCTCCTGTGCAGGCCAAGCTCCAACAGAAACCAAACCACCCCTGCCCACCCCACCACGCCTGGCTCCACACAATGGACTCCTGCTTTCTGACAGAGCTCCTACCTAGCACACAAATAATGGAATAAAACGTTGCTAAGCTACAGCCCAGTTCCTGTAGAGCCGTAAATCACAGCTTGGCAAAGACATTATGGGAGCATGTCATGGGTGAGGGGGTTTTCTTCATGCCCAAGTTGGCTTGTAGAAAGCCACACGAAGTTTTCTCAGCTTCCCATTGCTTTTCCAGAAGGTTAGACATGCCTGGGAGGAGGGCTGCTCATAAACACCACTTTTCAGAAATAATAGTAAAACACTTCTATGGCTGTTCTTATATCCTAATTGAGGGACACAGCAAGAGTCACAACCAACAGGGAAAAGAGATTCAGGGTTGTGAATGTTGTCAAGACTGCTTGACCATGAAGTTATTTCTCTCATAGTTTCTGTTAATAGCAAGACTGTTGGCAGGCAATAATTATATAACT